TTGCTTAGACAGCTTTAACACTTTGTCTTGATGGTTTTTGTGTTTTTGTAATTTTCTTTTCTGCTCCAAATTTGGTCATGAGGATCAGCGGAGAAAGTGAAATATTTAAAATAATGATTGATTAAATTAAATATCTTGATTTAAAATATCTGATAAATAATTTGGTAAAAGTAAGTTTTTGAGAAATATATAATCAAAATTGCCAAAGAAACAATATTAATAATACCAATAATCTGAGTTAATATAAATTTGATTTATAACTGTAGCCCAGCTCATAAAATACTTTAACGGTTTTAGTAAACTCATTTCACCAAGAATTAGTATCATCATAAGCCTTAATTTCAAAAGTACTTGATTAAATATATCTGATTCATGATACCCAAAGATTCCTTAATGGGCCTATTATATAGTACTAGCAACTGATAAAATCAAATAAACCTGATTCAAAATATTTAGAAAAAGTAAGTTTTTGAGAAAGGCATAATCAAAATTGTCAAAAAAACAAAATTCATAATACCAATGATCTGAATTAATATGAATTCAATTGGTAACAGTAGCCTAGCTTATTCTCAAGATTCATATAACATAGTTGTTTTAATCTACTCCCGCTCAATTTATACCCTAATTTTAAATCAGGCCCAATCCCTCTCAATCCGGGCCCGATCCGAAATTTCTGGTCCAAAACCAATCCGGCGGTTAGGATCTGCACAAAATCCGAATCCGATCCGTTCTACATTTTTGGAACACTAGCCGGCTAGCTGCGACTATATCCAATCAATTATTTAATTATTTCATCAAATATCTAATTAAGTATCAAACCACTTGTATGTTGGTTTAATAATTAAGTGTGTGAGAGTGAAAACCTGGAAACCGATCATAGTAAATCATTGAATCGGTTTCCAGGTTTTCACTCTCACGTATTCGCGGATCAGCATCATCTAATAAATTGGAAAGCCCATCAATTATAATTAGAGATTTAGAGATATTCAATTTTTGCCCAGATCATTTTGCCAGATATGAGAATTTGGTGTAATGTTTATATTAAAGCGTTCAATGTTTGTGGCTTGTGTTATCTTCGCGCATGAGATCTGCAGTCAAAATTTCCACATAGTTCTACGGAAATATCTCGTTCGTCATTTTTATAAATATCTTTATACATTTGATATTGAAAGTCGAAATTGAAATAGTTACAGCAATTATGCTTGCTATAAAAAAATTCGGTACAACATGTAACGGATTTTTTTATAGCAAGCATAATTGCTACGTATAACTATTTCAATTTCGACTTTCAATATCAAATGCATAAAGATATTTATTTCCTTTCTTGGAATACGAGGAAATTTTGACTGCAGATCTTATGCACGAAGATAACACAAGTTAACAATTTAATCTAAACTCGATAAAAAATTGGGTTGACATGCATATGACCATTACACCACATTTTCATATATGGCAAGATGAGCCAGGCAAATATCTCTAATTAGGAAAGTAATTTAACAATTACCAATCTGACGGTAATTGAGTAAATCGCACGTGAATCACAAACTTTATCAATTTAAGTCACCTTCAGGCCGTGGTAAAAATATTTTAGTGTAGATCACATTTTTTAGTCTATCAAAAACACAATCTCCTGACCGTGGTAAAATATTTTAAACATAACCAATCGAATTTCATTGATCGTACATCGGCATCATTTTATAAGAAAATTAATTTGACAATTGCGTACGTAATCTGGTGGTAATCGAGTAAATCACAGACTTTGCTTATCAATTATGTAGTTTTGATAGACTAGAAACGTGACTCGCATGAAAATAGTTTTACCACGACCTGAAGATAACATATAATTGATAAGTGAAGTTTGTGATCCACATGTGATCCACATGTGATTTACTCAATTATATATTGCGATTTACTTTGTACATAGGCAAGAAGTAGTAATAATATATATGTGTAAGTACTGGGGTCAAAAATAAGTAATTATTACTTACATTATTACCTTGCTCATCTATAGTCTTAGTTTTTCAAAGGTGTTCCAAAATTTATTTAAAACAGCTGTAATTCGGACTCAATAATTTACAGATTCGGTCAATAGAAAATTTTTCAAATTTCCCAAAAATTATGAAACCAATTATGCAGTTATCCAGGTAACCTAATGGTTAACCGGTTACAATAACTTGGATATGATCACTATTCGTGGCGGGTGTGCACCACCAGTACATACAGATTGATCATCTTTTTAGAAAATATATATATTCATATATGTTAACCAAACCATTCTTAGCCCAACTGACAATATCATAAATGGGCGGAGCCAAGAAAATCTAGACTTCAATCATGTAAATTTATATGATTCTTCTTTGGTGTCACCCAATCTTAGCCTCCTTTTATTAATAGATTGCCATAAATAAAGCGAGTTTCTCCTGCAAATTTTTTTTTTTATCTAATAAACACGTTAAGGGATAGCGTTCAAAATCCATTTTCGTTTTCTAGTCTATCAATTGCATATAATAAATATGTTTAAGTTAACTCTCATAGGCAAAATCACGTTTATTTCTATCATATTGCAAGCGATAATAATCACCGTCTTGGAAGCTTTTGTTATTTATTTTCATGTTAATTTTGTTAAACAATATCAATTGACTCCACAAGGTGATGGAATATCTGAGGCAGACTTAATTTACCATGCAATGTAAGTAATCCTTTACAAATCAATCTTTTTAAAAAGTTTATTAATTTATTTTTTCTTTCATTTTCAAGATTTATCCTCTCGCTATTCTTCCAAATACTTTTAGCAGCTGATGCTCTCTGGCATCGCAATACTGTTCAGATAATAGCCCTTGTCATGTTCAATTTTCTTTCATTAATTTATGCGGGAATACAACTTTATCAACACCAAATCCTTGAGGACAAGGGAACTATAGACGCAACTTATAAACCAGTTACATCTCTTTTTTCTATAAACGACCCGGAAGCGCCAAAAATATATTATGAAGCCAGGATGCGGCCACTCGAACATACTATTATTGGGATAATATCAGGATTTTCAGTATATTTGGCATTCATGTCTTACTTCTCTCCAAAGAATTTGGTTGGGAAAACTATAAAACTTATTCTGCTGATCTTCTGGTTCGCAACACATATTTCTACCTCACAATTTTACAGACCTTGATTAAAATGGATGTGTTCTTTATTGGATCATACGCCTTACAGCTTATACCTTCTCGACAAATTGGTTATTCAGATAGTATTATAGAAGTTGTTCTTGTCTTTTGTTTTGGCACTCTCATGTTGCTGCTTGCTTGGTTCTCAGTCACTATGGAAATGAAATATCTCTTATTATCGGTGATCAATATATATTCTATCTCATTGATTTATTGGGTATATCGACTGGTAACAGTTAACCTTAAAACTTTAAAAAATGGACAAGGTATTTCTTTGTTTATTTACTTTTTTTCAATAAAATTCATGGAATGTCTATTCACATAATTCGGTGTTTTTCTGTCTTTAATTAGATCCATATCAATTCACTCGACAGTTCCTAAGCTTCTTTTTAGCTACAACATTAGCACTTGTGGTATTTACTGTATTTTATTCCGTCATTTGTTTTCGAAACATGATGCGTGGAATTTATGTACTTACAGTATTTGGACGGCCTGAAAATGAAGCCGAAGGTAGAAGTCCATATTTAGACACAGACAATTTATCAACTACATCGTCTAAATTTATGTCAAAGAGACAAAGTGCAATTATTCAACAACAGCTATTACGAGCACAAGAACCCAAAGTACTTCTAGATTAACCTTAGCGATATAACCATAACTGGAGGATGGTAAAAACAATTTTTTTTAACCTGCTTAGAACAAGTGACGTCTATGATCGAATAATTAATTAGCAATCCACATATGAATGATAGTATTAATATATAGTCACTATAGCGCAAATTACTATGTGTTAATATAATAACTAAAGTTTTTTTTCTCTACAATTTTATATAGTTACAAAAAATACAATATAAATATTCTATAATACTAGATTGATTTTAATGATTTTATTATTATATAAAAAGTCTTCTCTATACTTTAGTCAGAGTCAAAAATATATTGACATAGTAAAAAAATAGTTTACTATAGAGGAAAAAATATTTCATAATCTCTATAATTTAAAGCTGAGTTTGTGGTTTTAAACGTTTTTGGTTGGTCCAGACGATAAACCTGATCATGTTATAGTTAATTTTTTTCGGTTGGTTTAAATGGTAAACGTATCTTTGTTGTTTTGAGGCGTGTGTCGGTATCAACCAACACGTAAGTTGTTGCTTGTCGTTCATCAGTCAATCAACACGTATGATGTGGCTTGGGTTTTAATTCAGTACATGCGTACATACGAATGACTTGATATTGATGCGATGTATTGGTATTACACGAATAAAGTGTACCAGATGGATGGTTAAAGACAACGATATTTAGAATAAATAGCTGCACAATGCAGTTACGCAAAACCAGGAATGGGAAAATCTATGCAGACACCATTTCAGTCACGAGAACCCATATTCTTCATTGCAATATATTCCTGGTATAAGAAAATAACTCTTTATAAAAGAAGTCTGTAGTACTTTCAATCTGAATATTGGTTTGAATTTCAGTGACCGAGCCTAAAAACCTATTAATGAAGTCAATGTCTGACTGCTATATAGTTGGTTAGCTA